ATTTAATATTTTGTAATAGACTAGTAGTGTATGGATGTTTGTTTATTAGGCTCTTATTTTCGAGTGTAGATGTAATACTTAAACGACAAATGTGTTTTAAGGTTTTGAAGTAATATTTATGTGGCAATGTGTGGTATGTGCAAATTTAAGGAAAAAAAAATATTTTTCTTAACGAGTCGTAATGGGTCGGGTCACTTTACCCTACTTGTTAAGGACCCGTTAAAATAACGGATGTGATACGACACGACCCGTTAAGATAACAGGTGTTACACGACAGACGCCAGGCCTACTCAAAATGGTGGGGGAGATTTTCAGAAACGCTAAAACTAATACCTTTTGATCGATTAAGACCCCTCTATAAGTCCTTAAACTTAAACTTTTAGCAAACAAAAAAATGTCTTTTAAAAAGTATAATTTATTAATTTTTGGAAAGTAAAAAAAATGAGCGTTATTAGTCACTACTAGAAATTTATTTTATAGCCTCTGATTTGGAGGCCACGGCAAAGGAAACTAGTGACATTTTGCTTCAATAGGTAGTGTTTTGCTTCAATATATAGGCTGATACTCTAGTAACGGTGGCTACTGATGAGATGAAGGCACGAACATCCAGTGGCGTCTATGGTGAAAGCACCAATACTCCCCTATCCAACTTCTCCGTGTTCGTAGCAGAAGCGCGAGAGGTTAAATATAGCTTGTAGGAGCACAGATGGATCGATCCCCTAAACGATACACATTTATTTGCTAATTAGAGCTTGCTTAATAGTAGTTCCTAGGAAGTTGATCTCAACTCTTGTACATCCTTCCCGAGTTCTTTCAAGACCTGTCAAGATAAAAGAGTGAAAGGCTCACTAATTAAACATGTTTGTTTTAGGTTAGTAACTTAGTAGTACCAAGAAGAATAAAAATTAAATGTTTTAGGACTCACTATCTTGGTTTCTTCAAGTGCAGCTTCTAATGCTTCGATCTTCTGCAAAAATACAACAAGAATCAGCATAATTTTTGCATAATGTGTTGAACTGTACCCCGAAATAAGAGCGCAATCGTTAGTCCCAACTTGCCTTCTTCACGTCGCTAAGCGCTGCTTCCAAATCCTGGATTCTCTGCGATGCAGTGCCACACAAAATGAAGTATATCAAACAACCTATCACTTCTTTCAAGTTTTATGGTTCTTAATAAATTGAGATCTATGCAAGTAAGATTCTGGTTAAAGGAGCTGCTTAATAACTACCATGTCGCGCACCAACGCCTCTTCTGATCCCTGATCACCGTTTTCTTCACAGTTGTTTAGCTCGTTGCCAACTGAAATCGCCTGAAAGATATAGATGAACATTTTTGCTCGACTATATTACTGCGTAAGCATTGTACCTTCTAAGTATAAGCTCAAAAAGTTGCATTAAAAGTACACATGGGAAGGAAAGCTTTTAGAATTAACAGAAAACAGAAAACTGATGACCTGAAGCAGTTCTGTAATTTCAGGATTGTTCCAGGGTCCTCTATCACTGAAAAGGCATCCCCCGTAATCGGAACAGGTGCAGTTTCCACCCAGAAAAGTTGGCAAATTACTGCAGAGAATTGAATTTTAACCAAGCAATTACAAGGAGAGTTTAAGTAACATTTTATGTGCACCAATATATGAAAAGTTATTCTATTTTTTCTTTCTTTGAATTTGCACTAGATTATTATGTTTACCTTCGATCAACAACATCAAACAGCTCACTGTGATAATTGTATCCCAACACCTGCAATAGTGATCTCGTAGATTTCGAAAACAATTAGTCCGTCATCTGAAATTAATGAAGGTGCAATGCCATGTCTTACTACAATTTATACCCTCGATAAAAGAATCCTTACTTGAATCTTTGCTAATGTTCTTGTATCAAGGAAAGCCTTCACTACTTTCCACAGCATTTTAAACCCGGATCCAGCGTTGACGATAAAGAGGCAATTTAGAGTCTGAAAATATCAGCTGCCTCAAAGTCAGTAAGATGTACATGAACATATACACACATATGTTGAGAAAAATATGATGTCCTAGCTCCAAACTTTCCATCATCAATTTTCAAATGAAAATATACCGCCTTTTAACATCCCATCGTCTATGATGCTTATCTTTTCGTTTGGCATTAGTACCGCGGGAACAATGACAACCCACGTACCTCTGGGTAGTAATTGCTATCAATCTTCTGAATTTCCATAAAAATATATCTGGCAGGCTTTGAGAAATTAGCCAATCCCTAATCAAACACATAAAGTTCAAATATATTAGAACCCTAAACCCTAAGCAGCTTGAAGCCCTAACCAGCAAAATCAATCTTTTTGGAATACAGAAAAAAATTTCAAACAAGGATGACGGAGATAAGACTTGAAAACTCCCCTCCGGTTGAGACATGCTTTCGAAAGGTTTTCTCTAGATGGAATATAAGAAAGAAATACTCACCACTCCATGCACATCCAAAATACTTGTTGTAGATGCTACATGCCTCTTAGCTGCAATCGAACACGCAGGGTATCTCAAATTTAATGTTTTCTCTTGTTCGGAAACATGATACTTGGTGAATCTTTCGGGGGTAGTTACTTGCAGAAGTTTGTTAAGGTCCACCATCCCGATCCTTTCAATGTATACTGGTCTACCATATCGGTCTACACCATGATATCCATGGGGATAGCATTTCTTTACTGTTTCATACTCCTCAAACTTAAACTCCTGCAATGCGGAATCCCACAATTAATTGTCGTTTCGATTAAGCCACATAGCGCTAACTAACTCGAACACTTGATTGGGACACAGAAAAATATAAGAATTGACAGTAAGGGAAAACTCATGTCAAGAATCATCTTAATGACCTTAGAATAACATCTTAAATAAGATTAAGTAGAATATCATTTAAAAAAATAGAGAGTTGGCCTTTTGAGTACCTTGTGTTCCAAGCTTCTAGATGATCAGTATTCTTATTAACCCAACTATCACATTCTTAATTATCATGATCTAAAAGAGCATGATAGCGCATATATTTTTCGAAGAAATGGGGTTCCGAAAATCAAATAGGAAACCACCTTCCACATTTGGAACAAGGTCATAAGAAAGCAACTGCATTTATGTACTCTAAAGGAGCTAGGAATTTAAAAGAGAAACCTGCACTGGTGGGGCTATAAACAAACCTAAACGAAAGCTTCTCAAATCCAGTTTTCCGGCATCGACCTTCCTAAATACCGAACTGATTCTATTACTTATTGGATTTGATGAGACATCAGTGCTGTAAAATCAATGTGATAGAGTAATATTCACACTTCATCTAGCAAAAAATAAAGTTTAGTTTGGAATATTTCACCTTTGGAATTTCATCAACCTGATAATCCTCACGCCACTTAAGATAAATCAAGAACGCATCTTTTGCTCTCACAAAATCGAAGTCCCTCATTCTAAGAAACCTATATATCATCATTAAATAGAAATATTAGAAACAATTTATCTTAAATTGATAGTTGCAAATCATTTCTTATATTTGAGAACATTGTCCCATCAAATTACTAATTACCTTAAAAGGGTATGATAATCATTGTGCTGTGGAGGAAGTTGACCCTCAATAAAAAGCAATTCTCTGAAAGAATCAACATATTTTTCATCTTTCGGATCATGAACTCCTCCGAGAACCGTTTTGAAGCTCCTACTACTACTCCCTCCGAGCCTCTTGAATGAGTCCCGAAACTTGAGCGGATATGACAGCATTGTCTTGAAGCCTAAGTTTGACATTATAGATGAATCAGGCTTGTTTTTCTCTGGGGGAGGGAGATGCCAATGGCTTTCAATAGGCGGATGAAAAATTTTCGTCTTCCCTGGTCTCGACGCAATATCTCCGTCTCCATCTCCAACACCTTTAGATATGTATATATCCCTGTCTTGTTTTAGTTTATGCATAGGTAAAGACCAAGACCAAGACCAAAAATACGCCCTTATGCAATCCAACTTTAAAGGTTAGGACATTAAACAAAGTATATTGTATAATGTTTGAAGGGGAAGAAGCTTGATCTTATTCTTGCACCGATCACACTAGGAAACTGCTTTCAGAATTCCGGTGAAGCGGTTGTCAAATTTCGAAATCACTCCGCATAAAATCTATGAAAATGCGAAGGGAGAGATCAGCAAGCAAAAGAAGGTGCAGAGCTAACATAAGTAAATAAAAAAATAAAAAGATATGGAAAGGAAAGAAACGAAAATGTTAAAACTATGTTGGATTGGGTTGGGTTTGGGTATCCAATTCCATGCTTTGCTTTGCAGCTTCGAATGATTAAGCCTCAAGTAAAGCTCTGTACGTAATTCTGTTTTCTCGTGCTGATGAAACGCCTGTTTGTTACATTTGAGTTAATTAGTTCCACTAAAAGTGAGATCATATTCTACTAATTAAGCTACATGTTAACATAATGCAATAAGAGCTTAAGCTCAAACAAATTAAAGTTGGGGCACTAATATCAAAAAAATTAGAGCAGTATGCTCATCTGCAGACTATTCTGTTCGAATTCTCATTTCTGTAGTTAAGATTATAATCACCTTAAATCAATTGAAGCACATGTTTATTTCAGATTAGCTATACTACATAGAGCTTTTTCTTTCTTTCATTTTTTTTACTTTAGAATAATAAAAACTTATAAAAATATTTTCCTCTCACCTTAAATCAAGGGCCCAAAAGGCCCACTAATTCTATATGGCGTCTATAGGGAGAATGGCGTTTTTAAGGTGCGCATTGTAGACTTTACATGTAGATGAGAATTTAAAGGTTGCAAACTGACGAGCTCACACCTAGGACTGGGTCTTTGTGACCCATTGTAATTTATGCCTTTTTTTTTGTTTTTGTTTTCATCGGGTATGTTTTTGTCGAAGAGAGTTCGGGCTAAGAGTTTAATTTGCTAGAAAATATTATTTTACCGACAAACTTAAAACTCATAAAGTAAAATTTTGATCGGCACAAGAGCCTTTGCCCGACAAAAATTTTAATTTGTCGGCTTGAAACATTTAGACCTATGACGATGAAAAGTTTGTTGGCAAAGAACTTTCAAGCCCACAAATAAACTAATAGTCGGCAAAAACATGTCCGTTCGTCATCAAGAGAGGGGCGCGGATTAATTCCTGCCCGCTCATTTATTTTTTTTGTCTTTTCGATTCCCCGCTCAATTTTTCAGTTTAAAGAATTTCCCCTTTAAAACTAGATTCAACGTATTTTCTACAAACCCTGTTATATGCGGATAGCCCAGCCCCCTCTTCTCTCTTTCTCTCTCTCACGGCGCCACTGTTCGCTTTCCGTCAACATTGTTTTTTGGCTCGCCGTCGTCATCGCTTCATCTACTCTCTGTTGCCGTTGCCGTCGAAGTGCCACTGCTACTCTAGCTTCGTAATCGCTAATACTGGGTGCTTCGTTGCACTTTATTACTCTAAAACGTTTTGGGTATGTTCTCAGACCCTATCTACTCTAATCCTTCCCCTCAGCTCTCTGTTAGTCTCAAGTTTATGGTTCCTTTCTTAGATTTGTTTTTCCAATGTAATTCTGAGGGGATTTTAGGTAACTGATTTGATGGAGGATCCTTAGTTAGGGTTTGAGGATGCGTAATCCATGTTCTGGATTTTAATTGCTTTTAACTTCAATTTATGCGAGACTTCAATCAAGCTGCAGTAATGGTTTTATAGTTAAAATTGATTGTGAGTCTTTGCACCACAAAAATCAATCCCTCTGTGTAATCAATTGAAATTAGGCTCATGGTACTTGACATTGAAACTGAAGTAGCATGAAAAATGGTCTCAAAATGTTTTAGAGCAATGAAATGGGCTTGAAGGTTTGATGCCCTCAAAGATGGTGTGCTTAATTGCAACTATATGCTTGATAACAGAAGTCGCTCCATGTAACTTCTTATGCTTACAAGTGCCTTGTGAGGGTGGATTCTTATTTGAAGTATGTTCTAGTTTGTGTTCTTGTTTGTGCTAAATGTAATATAATCTTTTTAAATGTTAGAGTTTGCATACGTGGGGTTATTGAACTTTGGGTTGGTTTCAGTGAAGGCCGTTTGGTCTAAAACTAGGAATGCTCATTTTCTAGTTTCTGAATTGATAATCAGTTTAAGCTGCTTCCCCTTTTTGCTAGGTTGTGATGACATGCCTATTCACATGTGAACAAGGTAAGGTTGCAATTGACTTTTGAAATTATTTCCTTTCAGCATATTGTGGCAAACCTCTACTTGCATTAGTACTTTGGATTTGTGTGTAGGCAATCATGTAGGTTCTGTAGATTCTAGGTTTATATGTTGCTTAGGTTCTGGTTTAAGAAGCGCTCTGACCCTAGCTTGTCATACTGATTCTGTCATGTGATATAGGTATTAATCTTCTATGTTGGGTGGTTTGTTATAGGTTCTTTGCTCTCAATTATGCTGCAGATGCTGCCTGCACTGTTTTACGGGTTGATCGGGTAATAGATATTAACTAATTATTTGTCAATACTTTTCTTAGTTTTGCACCACCCAAATTTGGCATGCACTTAACTTTTAAATGTTAACATTCAATATAATGTCGATTTGGACTATCGTAAAGGAGGACTTTGTGAGTTAACATTCAATATAATGTCTCAAGTATATTGGGATTGAAGGAATATGAACTTAGAAAGGGATTAGGCTCTTTGTAATGGGAAAGTATTGGATATAACTACATGCTTTCTAGTTGACAAATTGGTTTAGTTTTCATTGTTTATTGTAATACTATGGTGTTATTGCAGCCCTTAAATCATCCAAGGTTTGAGGTCGCAACGGTCTTCAGGAAGCCACTAAATTCTTCTCCTCTTGCCCCATGACACAAGCTCCTGCATATTTGGTGTTATTGGATTTTTGAAATCCATTTGATATAAATCTGGGAATGCTCATTTTCTTGCGTGGAAATAAAGCTGGGAATGCCCCTTTCCTCATGACACAAGCTCTTGCATAATGCTACATGGCAGCCGACTTTAAGGAATCACAATAGGATAATTTTATTGTGTGACATGCTTTTGTAAAACACTCTAGATGTACATTTGAAATTTATCAATCAATAAAGTATTATTTCTTAACAATTTTTTTGTATTGTATTTGGATTTGCATATATAACAGCCGAGCATTAAAGCTATATTTTTTTAATATAAATTAAATGTCTTTCCCAATGACACTAATTTTGTTGGGAGAGAAGACTATGCCGACAAAATTTCCATGACGATGAACATAATTTGTTGGCTAAAAAGTATTATTTGCCGGCATAAAAGCTCTGTACCGATGAAATATTTGTCAGGAAAGATGTAAATGCCGATAAAAAATAGTTTGTTGGGAAAAATTGAACCTTAGCTGACTAAACACAAAAAACGTGCTTTGCACGACGAAATGGCCGACAAAATTTTTTGTCGGGGAAGATTCTTTGTTGACAAATTTTGACTTTTGCCGACTAAGTAATTTTGTTTGTAAAGTCAAAATTTCTAGCAGTGATATGAGAAAGGGAAAGAGAAGCAAAGAGAGGTACTCCATAGCTAATGAAGGGTGTGAGAAGTCGATTTCAGGTGGATTAAAACCTAGTTTCGAGTGTGATCGGGTAATTCTATATCTTAATTTTATTTTATTTTTTGTTCACTGGGTGTGTTTTTGTCAGAAAGAGAGCGAGAACTGAGGGTTGTATTCGCAGGGAAAGAGAGGTAGAGAGAGGGAGTTGGTGAAGGGTGTGAGTGCTAATTTTCAGGTGGATTGAAGCCTAATTTCGATTGTGACCTGGTAATCCTATACGTTCAATTTGTTTTGGTTTACTGGGTGTGTTTTTATCGAATAGAGAGGGAAAGATGAGGGTTGTATTCGTCGGGAAAAAGAGGCAGAGAAAGGGAGCTGGTGAAGGGTGTGAGTGTTCAATTTCAGGTGGATTGAAGCTCAACTTGGATTGGAGTTTGACTAGGGTGGTTCATTCACAACCTCTAAAGAAATCCAGTTTGTGAAGGTCAATTTTGTGTTGTGAGTTAATCTTCTGTTCCATTTTGGTTCTGAAAACCAACTTGGGGTACTTGTGTAAGATATTTATAATTCTTGGATTTGAATCCATAATGGTGGGTGGTTACCACTTGGACTTGGTTAAAATTTTGAAATTCGATTTTATATATATAGGTGTAAAACTTGTGTTGAGTTATGGTAAGTTATGTTGTAGTTGTGTATATTTATAGCAGGTAGTTATTGAACTATAATTCGATGGGGGATGAGTAGTACGTAGTATGTTACCTTTCAAAACTATTTTCGTCGACACTACTGTCTGACCATGTTCTTGCAACATATTTTCCATGCTTGAAGGCAAGACACGTCCTCGAAAATTGCAAGGAAGACAAGGAATTTTTCAACACTTGGATTGAGAAAGGAATCATTGATCGATTGAGTGTACGACCTCTTGCTGTAACTTGTCCTCACTTTATGTTATACATAAATTCGCTTCTTATGTTCTGTTTTTCTCTGAATTGGTTATTCATATGACGACTAAGCTAAATGGCTTGATTTTCAAGATTCCAATACTTTTTGTTCCTAATTCCTTTTCATCTCTCTCTCTCTCTCTCTCTCTCTCTCTCTCTCTCTCTCTTTTCTGCATCCAATCAGCAAGATGTTGCTGAGAAGGACTTCGTGCAGTTGACTTGTACTGAAGCAGTTGCGTTCAGAATTCATCCCTAAACTAATATTTCGTTGATTTATCCCTGAATTTAACGTAGCCTTAGTTTAGGACAAATTTTAAACTCGAGTGCAAGTTCACGGAAATTTTTTTTTAATTGTACTGAAAAAACCAATACTATATTTAGCAGAATATCCGGCCTCGGCTTTAGATGTTAATTCAACGTGGTAGAGTAATAAACATAGGAATCCATAGCCAAAGAACAAAACTTGAAATTTTATTCTCTCTCAATTCAATACACTATTCTTTTCCCTTCATAAGATCTGTAGACCCTTTTATCTACTTCAAGGAACGATTTCTGTATTTAAACAAATGAACAAATGATCTGTACACTATCGCCCATGCAGGCTTTTGTTAAAGGGAACCGGAAAAACGAAAACAAGACGAGCTCCTCCTAAGCCGTAAATGGCAGCGACTCCCGGGCATCTAAACATAACATTGGCTCGTGAGTAAAGAACCTGCGCCAATTACATCTTAACATACATGGTAAGATGGGGAGTGGGAACTTTGAGAAAGAAAAATAATTGTTCGATGAACTTACTTCCGGCACTACCACGAGTTTGGCTTTCTGAGAGATGCAGGATCAGAAGGAACCTTCCAAGTATTTGTATTGATCGCTAGGAGCAAAACTTGATATTTACATCTTCATTACTTCGGCTCAAAGTTCCACTTCATGAAGGTCATCACCAAAACTGCCTCCATTCATTGGGGTGCGTGTCAGGGAAAGCTCACTCGGCCTAAACATTGCCGGGGACATGCCTAACGCCTCCCCTAGAGGTTTTATCTCACCCATTTCCATAGGAGGGCTTAATACATCATTGGAGCTTCCACCCCATGAGGCCGTCCTTCGTGAGTGGGGTGGAGCAGAGCCATTGGAAGTTGTGGCAACTCCCATACTTTGAATATTACCCATGCTTGGGTACCTTTGCATGGTATTTGATGACGACGATGAAGGCGGAGGAGTATGGAATGAATCATTCATACCGAATGTTGAAGGATTTTCATTAGTTGCACCACCTTCTTGTACACTTTCAGCAATAGCCTCCATTGCCTGTTCATTTGATGGTGCTACCGTGGGAATAAAAAACTTTGCGTTGGCAGCAACAAGAGGCTTAACGGATGGAACAGAAGGTGACTCGAACAAGTTTACTGGGCTTCCACCACCTTGGTTGAATGTGTCAACATATCTGCCAAAATTCCATGAAAAATATAGTCAACTCAGATTCATTCCCTCGTTGTCCCTAGCACTGAAGTCTGGTGGTAGTCCTCTCCACTTGTAAGTGGAAGGTCTTAGATTCAACTCCCCCAGATAGCGAGTTTGATACCAAATTATGGCCGTCACATTCATTCCCTCATTGATTACTGACAAATTTTGGTCAAAGGGCATTTGAATCTCAAGGACAATTACTTCTAATTATTAACTAAATTTAAGCATTTGTGAATACTGTAAAAACTTTTCAGAACCTAATGGAATAGAATGATTTAAAACTGACACGAAAGAGAGGGTGGGTGTGGGGTCGGGAGAGAGAGCAACCGAGAATATATTGTACCTGGATCGAATACCCAACCGTCCACGGGATGAGAATTGATTTGAGCTAGGTGGAATAGGTGGGGTCCCTGAAGTTGGTCCTGGAGGGGTTGAAGTTTGTAAATCTGGGCTGCCCTTAGTAGGAGACCCTTCTTTCTTCAAAACAGTTCTCAAGTTGTAATCAGAGACACCATTCTGAAAGGGTGTACATGTCGGGGGAGGAGGCAACACGGTATCTTCAGCTGGAGGTTCAACACCTTCCTCAACCCATCTTTTAAGTTTTTCGTCATAGTAGAACTTGTTTGTTTCACCCAACTTAGCCTTCAGTAGCAAGTAGAAAATTCATTAGATAAGGTTTACCGTAAGAAAGAATAGATGTAGTTCTTTCACAGAAAGGAAAAGGGAGTGAGGATTGAAGGAAAGCCCAAACATATATATATATATATATATATGAAAGTATAAACTACCTGTTTTCCTGGGCGGGGTCTTAATACTAAACCAACAGTCTTTTGCAAGAGCTGTGACCCGAAACCAAAACGAGAAAAGCGAGAACCCCCTGGGGATTTTCCTTGGGCATCAGGTGAGGCCGTTTGCTTTGATGAATCAACCTGGTCCCATAATGAGTTAAGATGGCGCAAAGAGGTGATTAATTGCACATATACGGTGTTGAAATGTGCTGATTAAGCAAGTCCATGCATGGTTGAATTTGAAATTTACACGTTTGGGAAATTTGACACACCTGTCTTGGAGTTCTGCCAAAATCTGGCTCTGAAACACTTCTATTATGCATTGGCTTTCGGTTGCCATCAGATGTCCAGTCACTAATGGGTTCCATTGAAGCAGAAGGAATTAATGACAACATGGCCATTGTTGATTGACTACTAGAAACTCTAGGGCCTGTGGGCTGTTGGTAATGGTCATTACCGTGAGCACTTCCTTGGGATGTGGACGGTGCAGGTGGTGGTAGGCCCCCAACAACACGATGTGCAGTACTATCAAACAAGTTGAGCAATTTACCTACAAACTTTGTAGAAACTAAATTTACAGAGTATCCCCCCTGCAAATGGATGTGCATTCAGAAGGATTAGTCGTATTAGCTTGAAATGATGAACATACAAACAATAGGATAAAGAAGTACCTGCTGATGGGTTTTAATCCTCTCCTCAAGAGATAATACTAGTTGCTTCCACGTTTCGACTTCAGGTGCTCTACCAGTTTTCAAAGACTTTATTATTGTTTGACAGTACCTGAATTAATTACAATTTATTAAGAGAACAAGAGTGAAAGAAAATATCAAACAAAAGATTATTGCACGTGCTTACTTCAACGAGTCAGAAACTCTTCCAACTTCAGCAAGCATGTGTGCATATATGAGCTTATATGGCTGAAATGGTAGAAGAATGAACTGAGAGTTCCCAAGCACCCTTGAATATTCATAGAGTTCAGTCCTCTGTCAATACAACATAAGGAAAACTGAGTAAAAGCTCCAGAAAGCATTACTTAAAAGTAACTGATAAAGCTACCATATAAAGTTAATAGGCTCCAGATTTGCACTGCTGCACTAAAAATATGCATTCTGCAAGGCACGACTCAGGAGCCAAATAGTAACTAGCACTAGAAGTTTCTGAAAAGTAAAAATAAAATCAAGAGACTTCATTAAGAATAACAGCATTTAGAAACCACCTGAATGGCCTCTGGATTAGCATAAGTTCGAGGCGACTTCCAGTGATCTGCTCCAATTAGACATAGCCTTGCACTATCCGAGTATGACTCAAAATTTGCTTCTGCCACTAAATAGCAGATGTGTGCTGCAGTAATCTGAAACACAACTGATGTCAGATTCAGGGAGAAAAAGAGCACAC